TTCTCAGTCTTTTTAACTAAATAATTGTTTGAATGTAATATTATTTATTATCTTTTGCACTGAATTAAGTTTATTCAAAGTACTTTATTTCCGAAACTTTTTAGTAAACAGAAAAAGGTCTTATATATTTAGCTTGTGTAGCAATAAATGTAGAATTAACCGTGACCTATTTCACAGACTGTAAAATTAAATAAATGGTGATATAATTCGTTGTTAAGTAGTAGTAGTAGTGTGGTGTGGTCTACTTATATCCATATAAGTAGTATATGGTGTTGGTCAGACATAGAATGTCTTTTGGCAGAAGACCGATTAGCAAAGAACTGAAATGAAGCGCAATCGTTTGGAAAATGCATGAGCAATGGAATTAGAGAAGAAACAATGAAGATTGAAACAATTGGTTGTTAATTTGCAAATTGACTGTTCATTGTATGGTTTTCAAAATTTACTGAGATAGTCTGTAATTTTTGCTTTAATACATTCGATTGTCCCCAGTCGTGTTCTGTTCACTACAGTAGTAGTAGTAGTAGTAGTTTGCACTATTTTAGTTAAATTACACAGGTTATCAGAATCACTTTGCTTTAAATCAAAGTGACAAATAAAATTTGAATGTATCATATCTATTGAATAAATAGCTGATTTAACTTTTTTAAAAACAAAATTGACTAAACTGCACCAAAGCAGCTAGTATTTCAAGTGCAGCAAAAACAGGGTGCACTATAAGGAGATCACCAAATTAAGGGTAGTCTCCCTAATTTTTTTTAGCGCGGCTTGAAACTAAAAAGTTTTTATACGCGCGAAATATATATATATATATATATCCCCTTTACAATAAGCTTAGATTGAATAAATGTAATATCATTGAATCCTCTAAAAATTATATTCTTGTAAAGAAATACACATACAAATTAGTCAATATCTAGGTGTTGATTTAACACAATAGAGTATAGTTTTTATTAAATTTGTTTATGAGATCAATTTAACTTGTAGAATAGTTTTTCACTTTCCCACTGAAATTTTAATGGAGCCTTTATACCGTCATACACAATGTATAAAATAACAGATTATAGTTTGATTATTTACACATTTGTAATCAATAGAAACATTATTAAGTCTTTAAGAAAAGGAGGAATCCGAGTTACGAGTGAATTTTAGATACCAACATTTTTCTTGATGACATAATATTTTTATGTAGTTGAAATCATGAATCAATTGAAGCTGGACCACCATGGAAAATCTGGAAGCGTTAGACGGTCATTTCGTGCTATTGTGGGACTCAGCAATGCGCATCCACGATCCCACCTTGCGAGATTCGAACCCAGGAGTCCCACAATATGATGAAACAGCTGTCCAGTGCTTCCAGGTTTTCCATGGTGGTCTAGCTTCAATTGACTCATGATTTCAACAATATAAAATTACTAAAATCTTCACAAGACCCCCCTCTGACTTGGTATTTTGTTAAATAAATCTAATAATTCAAGCCTTAGTCATAGGAAAACTTTCTTTAAAAATTTAATTGACAAATCTGAGAATACAACATTATATTCCTGGTGTGACTGACAATGTATGTTTATTCATTGACATACACAAATTTTGCTTAAGAGATTAATTGAATAGTATTCTGAAATGTTACTATTATTTATATCTTCTCTCCATTTCTTACTGCCACATCAAGGATATAAAATAATTTTATCTGAGTTAAAATGCTGAGAAAATGTCAAGTCTTTTCACAGCCTTAGAAAAACAGCACGAAAATATATGAGATGTATTTCTCTTTATTTAAATGTGAACATTTTCCATCAAATCGGTCTATATTAGTGCTTCGTCTGGAAATAAGTGATGAAATGGTTCATGAGATTGAGAGTTTTATTTCTCGTCTAAGTTTTCACGGGCGTGATAAATGATTAGGTTACAACACTTTTACCAAAAGACAGGTTAGTTTATTCCTACATGAATTCTCCGGCTCAAGTACTGTTCTTAAACTTCGGTTTATATTACTTTATGACTATAAAACATGACTACAGAAAACCGTCTGACTAATGTGGTTGAGGTATCGAAAGAACGGTATTATATATATATATATATATATATATATATATATATATATATATATATATATATATATATATTACTTGCTACAGTCTTCATGGGTCAAAAGAATTTCATATCAATATATTCAAGTTCTATAACATAATTTTCATCAAATCCTTTTTCTCACGGCAATAAAATAATAGTCAGCCCCACTTTATTAGACAAATTAAGTAAAACATTTATGCAGGAGAAAAATAATCATGTGTTAGTCGGTTTAATCTGAACAAGTCACGTAAAATATATAAACATCTCTATCGAAATAATACAATGCAATTACATCATATATATATATATATATAACTAGACCGTAAATTTACGTCTATGACCATTTGGCCAAAGGTCAAATAATGAAACCACTAAAGGAAGGTGAGATAAATGATATGGTTTCAAAGAAATTATTTTTCTAAAATCCATTAAGGTTGGAAATGTAGCCCATTTAATCCTAACCCAATATGCTTGATCGTTAAGTATTCGACTTGAAACTTCAAGAATATGTTTAATCATCAGTCAAATGTAATAATATACCAGGATTCATCAGCTGTCCAGTACTCTCTAAATTTCAATGGTACCCTAACTATAATAAATCAGTGACGAATACCTTTTACAGTTTAGTTGCGCTTAACTATTGCCTAAAGCTGAATAAAAGGGATAATACAAATATTTCATTTAAATCAGTAATGTTAAATCCTCACCTTATAAAAAAGACTGCTTATTTAAGGTTAAATTTTTCATGGGCGTGGAATGTAAGAGCATAGGTTAAATGTTATATTCTCAGTCTTGGAGAGTATTTCAATGATTGTATTAGCCTTAATAATTATTCTATAATTTATATGAAATATCATCCATTTATAAAAAGAAAATTTTATTCTGCAAATCGATATCCTATTTTTTAAGGTTAAAATATATTCAAAATTTATTCATTCCAAGTTACATTCAACTGACTGTATGGTTGATGAATGCTACTTTTTTTGTTTACTTACTAGTCTAAAGACTTCTAATTTTAAGAAAAAAATATTTCACAAGCATTGAATACAAAATATCAAGTTATTTTTTGTGTTATTAGTTGACATGAAACCATACATTTTCAATATTTCAAGAATGTTTATTCATTTCTAACTTACTAATTTATACTGAAACGATTTTTGGCTTATCTATTTGAATTATGAGTCATTTATAATTGTTACATTTTATATACACGAATATTCTCTGATTTATTCTTATAAATTTTCTTTTTAAATATATATCACTCAATTAAAGGGGTGAATACTAAAGTATCTTATATAGGTTTGTTATTTTTTGAAGTTATAGTTGTTTTCATGATTTATGTTTATTCATGACAACACTCTCTGAATACATGTGATAAGTCTTGCTGAATGAACGCTATACTCGTATCCTAAGCTAGTCTCGTAACCCCCAATCTAGAACTACACAGTGACTTGAACATAAGAGAAAAGGCGAAAAATATGCGAGAAACACTTTACTCCAACGGTTCATTTATGTACAGAAATATATAGGATTTTTATAGTATTTTAGAAGTCCTTGGGTTTTCCTGAAAATTCTGGAATACTGCTAAACATAGCAGCAGTGTAGTAATCAGCCAATCAGAAACTCTACATGTGACTTTTTTATTCTCGCGATATTTTTAGCAAAACTTCTAGTCGAACGCTGATTGGATAAAATACTTGTTATTGTTTCCTGAGCTTTTCATGTCTATTGCGATAAATTTTCAGGATCATCCCAACAACATGTACTTAAATTTCAAGATCAAAAAAATATTCCATGACAGTTATATTAGAGGTTTATAATGGTCATCAGAAAAGGGTGAAGGGAGAGATACTCCAAGATTTGTTGACTTACAATGTTCATTCTTCTTGAACGTTGTATATATATATATGGTTCTTAAAAGAACTTAAACAAAAGAAAATTATCAGTATTCCGTAACTTAGTTTCATACAACTTATCACACATAATGTAATCGGGAATAATGCCTACTTCAGGTAAACTCTGATGAAATTAGAGGTTTCTGCTGTATGAAATAACGAAAACTAGTAGACATTATAGATATATAGCTAATGAATCCTATTAGACTCATTGTTTATTCTCTTTTATAAAAAAAAATTTCTAATAATTTAACATAGTCTATTGAAATTATGTTACTTCGTATTTGTAGTGACAAATATTTCATGTAATACCATTTGTTTATACTCTTTTAAGCTTCATTATTTACCGACTCATCAACTTTAATCTACGTGATACATTATTTATCGTTATTTTAGTACATTACATAAGGATTACATGTGTCAATTGTTTTAATTACAGAAAGAAAACCTCTAAAAACGTTTTGATTGGTTTAAAATGTTTAATCATATTTTCTGATATTTTAATTGGATAGATTTATAACCAATCATATTGTAATACATATATATTATTTTATCCAATCAAATTGAAGGCAATGAAATAAACATGATTCAGTGTTATTGATAAGTCATAGAAACACATCATACAACATTTCGATTAAATGATATATTCTAACAATGTATTTCATTAAAATATTTATATCATAATGTATCTTCTGTATACTTTTATTTACATATTTGTAAAGGAATATTTATATATATAAGATCAAAGTACACAATAATCTAATAATCTTCAAGTGGGTACATAAAACTAGTATCTGGTATTCATATTTTATACTAAAATAAATTAAACAACATCAATTATGCCAATAATATAAAATATAATAATATTTGTATTTAAAAATAATAATAATAATTAAATCTGTCAAATTCTTAATCCGTACTCATGTGAATGGATATAAATACTCATGTTGTAAATAGACGAAAAAAAAGAAGGTACATCTAGACCGATTTAATCCAAGATAGTTCTTGAACTATAAAAAGAACAACACAAACATGGAACTTATTTATTATAAACAATATTGTATGCTTCTTACATTATTCATTGGATTTCTATGTGATACAGGTAAGTAATTCTGTTTTTTTTTTGTTTCTTTTAATGTTTCATTTTTGTCATATGTATCTGGTTATTTTATTTATGTTTTGTTGTTGTCACTAACTGAATTGTTTCTTTAAAGCACTTCATTTTGATATAACTTCTATGTACATAATTTAATATTTACAAGTTAAAGTACTTCATGTTCATAAAGCCTTTTGGTATTCCCCTTTATGTGTTCATGTACAACTTAATGATAGAATGATATGATTGTGAATATTTTAATTAATAACATTTGAGTTTTTGAATCTGGCGCCACAAGCACTCAGTTATATAAATAACTGCAACTTGTTAAATTGAATAAATCAAGTATCAGTTACTCCATATAAAAAGTATTTGGTTGTAGTTACGCTAATATGATACCGACTAATGATTGAGTTTGTGACGAATCTCATGGTTAGTTAGGTGTATCTGTATTGAAGTTGTAAGATCTACTAATCGGCAGTTGAATTCATCATTACAAACAACAAAACGTTGTGCATTAGTCTAATAATTATAAATGTTAAATCGAGATAGATAAATATCAACTACCAGTAGTGTATTTAGCTTCCCATATTTATTTATCAAACTGAAATGTTCGGTTTTTGAAAATACATTATCTTTTTTAAAATAATCATATTTTTAAAATCATAATATTTTTACTAAAAACAAATGATGTAATATTGAACTACTGCATTTAAAATAACGTCAGGGAATGAAACTTAAATGATTTCAACATTTCTCCTAGTAGATCGGCTTGAATTTATTCAGAAAAATTAGATTGCTGAAATCACTTCACACATAATTTTTGCACTTAATACCCTGTATATATTTGGCATTCAACTTCAGAGGCCGGTCACATAAACTTCTATCGATCCAACTGTTCATTATGTCTGTAAGTAAACGACTGATTAGTTTAGAACTATGGATCAATAATAAATATAAGTGGTATTGTTGTAGTGCTATATTTATAATGAAATATACTAAATTCTGTCCCTTCTTTATTAAATATATCTTTTGGGATAGTGTTTTTTTCTAGAGTGAATGAATTATACGTCCTTTTAGTTTACTACTTGAGTAACTGTACCATTCAGCTCTAGTTTCAGTTTATGGAAACATTATTGGTTTTTTCAAAGTTGAATTCATGAGTCATTTGAAGATAGACCACCATCGAAAACCTGGAAGCACTGGACGGTCGTTTCGTCCTATTATGGGACGGTTAAGGGCTTCGGCTCGAGACTGGTAGGTCCTGGGTTCGAATCTCGCGAGAGCCGGTTCGTGGATGCGCACTGCTGAGGAGTCCTATAATAGGACGAAACGACCGTCCAGTGCTTCCAGGTATTCGATGGTGGTCTAGCTTCAATTGACTCATGATTTCAACTTTGAAATATACTGAAATCTCCACAAATCCCCTTCTGTTTATTGATTTTATTGAATCTTTTAATATTTTTCTGATTGAATATTAGCTTGAATAATAAAGTATTCACCTTATCTATTATAACGCTTTATGTTTTACACATTACGTCCACACAAGATTCATTTGAAATTTATTTATTTTGTAATACAATCCTCAAATGTAACACATAAATTCAAAGTTTTAGATTATGATTAAATCTTTAAGTAACTGTTAAAAAAACATTCACTTATATTAAGAATTTGTAAACCACTGAAATTTATTCGTCAAAATCCTGGCAATTATTTAGTATCCAAATCAAACTTTTTATAAATTATTATCATAGATGATATTCACTTACTAATGTCTAAACGATCCTATTTATATTACATATTTAAACTGTATTCTAGGATTCAATCGCATGTTCAATCCTTCTAATTAGTATTTTATTTTACTTCAGGATGCTTTAGCTACATCTTTACCCGTTTTTATTATTAAATTTGTGTTGATCATTACTCTAATAATTAATGAATTTTTACTAAATTTACATTATAGTACCTAAAGCATCTCATTTATTTTTTATACACAGTTGCGAATCACACTCGTCGAACTCGAAAAAAAATTTGTTGATATTAAACAATATAAATATGTCTGAAAGGGTTTTATGGATATTATTAGTAATTTTTAATACTTGAGATCATAAGTCAACTGAAGCTAGATGTATTATATTTCTAAATAAATAACTCATACATCAGAATAATAATTGTTATTATTTAAACACATAAATATTGGTACAAAGGGGCACCAGATATATATGCGCCACACAAAAAAGGTCATTTCATTTAATTGTGTGAGGGTTATGATACTACCAAGGTGCCTAAACTGAAACAGGTGGTTTTCTTAGGGGGCCACACCCAGAACCTTTGACCTAAAGATCTGACCCACAAGAAAGTGGAGCATCGTCAGGAGATGTGGTCCCATGGTAGCTAATGACCAACGATCGATTCATACGCCATTTTTTTCCTCAGGATACTGGATCCCATGTGCACCATTGGTTTGGAGTGAGGGTTTTCCAACTCCCCTAAGTGAACATTCCGTGTCCACCAACTCGGTTAAAGCTCCGGACATTCGCTTTTCGACCTCACAATTTCGTAAACAACACCGCTTTTGCGAGAAGGCAGTGAGTATGACTTCTCTAGCAGATGCTATATACGCGTGACCATTTGAAATCATTTCGAGAGAGAGCGGACTCTCCCCACTCTCGTCCATACTAGGACATTTGGGGGCCATCAGAATAATACTTAAATTAAATTCTGAATCAAACCATAAACTTATGATAAATCATCTTTACACTTATATTCAATATACATTATTGTCCACAATGATTCAAATTTTTGATATATTTTTTAAACCTATCTTCATATACCATTTCTTAGGAAATATTTACTGTTTACTTATTTCATTTTTTAAAATAAACAAAACACTTTTCTCTTTTTTTTAACACAGTTCACTTAAAAATCTAAAAATGTCAAATAAATTTTATTGAATAAAGATGAAAAGATTGAATTATAATACATACACATGAATATCAGTTTTAAAATTCGGTTAGATTATAATTTATGAACGAACCAATCATATTTAAGAAAGCAGGTCATGAATTTTGGCGCGAAATTCATTCATTTGAATAAATATTATTTTAGCATTATAGCTTATGTTAGTTCGTGATGAAAATATCAAATCTAATTTTTAACCCTAACGTTCATCTGTGAATCTCAATCCTAATTGATCCTACTAATTTTTAAACTTAATTTAACCCTAGTAAGTAGGTGAACACTCCAAGATCATTTTAATGTTGCTCAAAGGTTGTCTATAAATTATAGTTTCACCTCAAATCCCTCCTGATCTATATCAAACTAAACTTCATGTTGATATATACTATTGGAAAACAAGTATAATTAAACGGAATTGATACTATATTATGAATTGAAGTGATAATGGTAAATCAACTGAAAAATGTAAAAAATATCATTAAACAATAATGGAGCTGGGTTCTAATCTAGCGAGAGAGGATCGTAGATGTGCACTGCTGAGGAGTCCCAGAATAGGACGAAATGGCCATCCAGTGCTTCCAGATTTTCCATGGTGGTCTAGCTTCAATTGACTCATAATCTCAACGATTGAAATAATGGAACCGTTTATTAAATCTCAATATAGTATTTATGAAATTATTATTCAGAGGCGTTAAGTACTGACCATTTGTTTCCTTTTTTCTAGTCACCAAATTTATTAATTCAGGGGTTTTATGTAAAATTTTCATAAGAATTGTACGTTATTCGTTTAAGCTCTGTTTAAAATATTATGTATTCTGCTTTGGGATTTCTATTTGTATAAAATGGATATGTTTATATGACACGATCTTCCTCTTCATATATATGACGGTGATTTCTGGCAATTTACTCGTTAAGTATCAACTGTAAAATTTCACGTTAAAATATCACAATAAATAATGTGTAATTCTCAGTCCATTTCACCTAATGTAGCTACTTGAATGATACATCTAGTCCAAAACAAAAATTACATGATTAATAAAACGTTCGTGAGTTATGGTTCGATACCATAACGAAGCTTTCATTTTTTAAAAATGTATTAGTTAGTAAAGTTGGGATTACAGAATGAATACTTTAGATATTCTCTGTAATGTAACATGTTGTTTCTCTATGGTATGCAATAAAATAGAAAAATCTATTAGACTAACTTCTCAGAATCAACTAATTTATATAAAGATGGAATGTATTTCTCATGTAAAAATAATCATTCCTTATTTGTTACATTCTGTAATTGAATAAATAAACTTACGCAACTCTACAATCTACTATAATGATTCGATTGTTCTTCGATGACAACTATTAGTGATTTTTAATTGAGTAGGTCATAATCAATCTTAATCACATAACTTATTGAAACTATTGGAATATGTATGTGTATTATGGCTATTTACACTAGAAACTGATGCAAGTCATTGTTTAATACATATTATATGTGTGTAGCGTAGATACTTCATGTTTATTGTAATGGAGTTGTTAGAAATAATTATTTATTATTTTTTAGATTATCCATGGAAGCTTTTTCAAATAGATCAGTAATGTTTTGTGAAGCTGTTCACTGGCTAAGTCCTGATTTCAATTAATACTGGCTAGTAGTTATAATTTTCGATGTAGGGAATTTTGACGACTTTAAATTTTGAAATTTTGCAACCTGAACTGACTTAAGTTAGAAATACACTGAAAACTGAGAAGCATTGGATAGTTGTTTCTTCTAAGTATATGGTTTCTCAAGAGTCTGCTTCTATAATCTCACCAAAGGCCATACCATAAGGCTTCAGACCTTCACAACTGATACTTATCCTTCAGATTATTTACATTCCTAATTTCAGTCATTAACTAGGAATTCTTGATCACAATCCTTTGCAACTAGTAACAGTTGTCGTATATTCAGCATACTTAAACTCATTTTAAACTATTATCCGATCAATGTTAGACTACCATTGAAAATCTGGAAGTACTGAATGTCCGTCTCGTCCTAGTATGAGACTTCTCAG